CTTCCCGTTCGCTTGGGCTTCGCCCGTAGCCAAGCCCTGCATGATTCCGAGGGATTGCCTGTTTGCTTGGCCGCTCGTTAGCCAAGCCTCGCCTGATTCAAGAGCTCGCCAGCACGAGCTCAACCTCACCTGATTGCTTCGCTCATCCGCACGAGTCAAGCCTGCCTGCAGGAGGTTCGCTCACATGAACCCCACTTGCCAACGAACATAGCTCATACACTTGAAGGTCTGTCAGCCAAACCCGCCTGTTCGCCAAGCTCGTCTGGAAGCTCACCTGAGCATTCAGACAGCTCCCAAGACCGCTTGCTCGCCTGTCAGCCCCGTCTGAACAGCACAAGCGGCTGCTTGTTTTTGGGAGTGGGCCTTCCCACTTTCCATGTCCTGGGTGATGATAAGGCATGACTCTCGTCACCCCTATGTGATCATATCCTATAGCCTAGAGGAGGGCATGGAGCTCCTTAACCCTATTGGTGGTCACATCCCAGTAATCAAGGGATGACCCATGCCATCCTTTACCTATACATGAGCCCCCTTGGCCAACGTCCAGGAGGCTGGAAAATCTTTGTTCTAAGCCAACTAGCTCTTTGCTTCCAAGAGACTAAGCTAATCAACACTTAGCTCTCCTCAAGGACTCTTCCTATAGAGGCCCTCACTCGGCTTGCTTACTAGAACCTTCCTAGCTCTTTGCTTGAATTGTTGAAGTAGACTCATCTAAATTCTCAGATTTGAGGCTTTCGAGCTTGTTGCAACTCTTGCATCGTACCCCTCTCCAAGCATTCGGCCTTGACAATCAAACTCAGGTAGATTCGATTTCAACCATAGAAGCTTCTACCGCGTACTGAAGCTTCAACCGCGACATCGGTCGTATCGTCCAAGGGAAGCAAACTCGATATAAGTTTCGAGGGAGGCGTCCTATCGCTACCAAAGAATCCATGTTAAACAAGGAGAGTCTTCTCTCCGCTTCTATTGTAAACTTTGGGTTTCATTTGATTTGTAAACACATTCAATTAATACAAATCCCCTTTGAGATACACCCCAAACTTTACTACTCCTACAGACCCATGACACTATTATCTTACTAGTGGATGGGTCTCACATGCACAACATCTCTTTTTTAGCTCTCTCAACCAAACACAAAGAAAAAATAATTAAACACATTCACATGACATTTTGATTTCCTTTTCTTAGTTTCTCAACCAACCAAACAACTCCTAATAGAATATACTGAGTTCAAAACAGCGATTTGACAAGGGATCTATCCACAGTTAACGTAGGTTATGGGGGTGTTTGGTTCACTAGAGGGTAAGAATAGGATTAGGAATCCGGTTTTTTATGGATTCGTACCTATTCCATAAGAAATTTTAAGACAAGTTTATAGATTCATGGAATCCTTTTTTTAGCTTTCTATGTTCGTTTCATAATATAGAAAAATAGAATCCAACTTTAAAAAAACCTTCCAATTCCTAATCTTTAGTTTGGTTTGGAACTTGAAAATTTTCGGATAAAGAGTGAGTACACCATAATTATTCTTACCCGTTTGACAATATTCAAAACCGAAACACTATAGCAACGTCTAGTTCCAACGGCTAGTTCAATATTCCAAACCAAAACACTGTAATGAAAACTGTTATTAGAACTGAGTACCAATTCTAGTTGATATTGTATGGCTCAAGAATATGTCAATTTGTCAATATTGAATGTCCCATCTATAACTTACAGGTTTATTGTAGATTGCATTCTAATGATGGATTGCCTCGTCTAGGCATTGTCAATTCAATGTAGGCTACAATCTCATCACATATTGCCTCATCTAACTATAATAAACACTATAAGTTAGATTGCATTCTCGGTAAACTCTAATCATCATTGCCAAATATCAACTATAGAGCATCACAAGCTCCAGCAATTTATCAACCAATAACAACATAACAACAACAAAACATACGTAGTGAAAGCAACATAACCAGTGCAAAGGAGCTACACAAGCTCATGTGTGTGCTTCAAAACCGACAACAATAAACCCAAAGTAAAGGAGCAACGTATGCTCAACCTGATAGTAATAAACCCAAAGCTGAGGAGAAACACAAGCTCCAAGTGGATGCAACATAGCCAAAGCAATGGATCAACACAAGCTCAAACATTAATAGCAATAAACCTGACAGCAAAGGAGCAACACAAGCTCCACTTGACAGCAAAAACCCCAAAGCAAAGGTAATATACAAGCTCAAAACCTGACAGGCAAAACCCCAAAGCAAAGGAGCTATACAAGCTCAAAACCTGATAGCAGCAATGAAACGATCACAGGAAAATAGAGAAAAGTTTTATACCTGCAGTTGCGAAGGGGATAATTCAGAAATCGATGCAACAACCCCAACAAAGCCAACAAACCAACAAAACCCACAATCAGGAATCACCGACAAATTAGCATCGAGCCTCGTCTTCGAAAAAGAAATCGAAGAGATGAGATGGGATAAAGACTCGAGGGAGAAGCCGAAGCAAACAAACCCACCGAATCCACCAACAGAAATTGAACCCGCTAACCGAATATCAAGTTCGAGAAGGGATCACCGACAACAATAACTGTGCCTCGTCTTCGAAAAGGAAACCGAAGAACAGGGGGAGAGGAGGCGCGAAGAAGAATGAGAAGAGGTGGGAGAAGAATAGGGGGAGTTGGGAGTTGCCGATTCCAGATCTAGGGTTCTTCGTGAAGAGATGGAATCCGAAAAAGAAGAGAAAGAGATTCAGTACAGCCACTGTCAGCTTTTTAACCCAATTCCTATCAAAATCTTCGGATTTGGGTTTACATAAAAAAACCCCTATTGTTGCAACTTTATGGATTTTAGAATCTAAATTTTTTTTTGAGACAAATTCAAGATTAGGATTGATAAAGAATCTATAAATTGCAATTTTGCCACTCCAAATGCTATTCTTTTTCCATAAAGGGCCTGTTTGGTTCGTTTCCTTTATTTTCCAAAACCAATTTTCCTTCACTTTCATCATTTTCCTTCACTTTCATCATTTTCCATCCTTACAAATCTCCCACATCAACCAATAATATGGTGACAACTCATCTCATCTCATCTCATTTCTTACTTTTAAAAATAAACTAAACACAAGAAATGTGCCACATCAATCAACTCATCCAACTCACCTCACCCTATTTTCCTTCACTTTCTACCATCTTTAAAAATTACTCACATAATCCAATAATATGGTGACAACTCATCCCATCTCATTAAAATTTTTCTTCCATTCCTTTCGTCCCAAAAAATAAGAAAATTAATTTTTCTAAGTATGTGTCACATCATCCAATGATATAATGACAACTCATCTTCTCTCATCTATTTTCTTAGTTTTAAGAATGAACCAAACACAAGAAAAGAACCTAAATAAGGAAAGTGAAGGAGAACATTAAAAATTACTTATATCATCCAATAATATGGTGACAACTTATTTTCTCCCTCACTTTTTTTATTGCTTTGACAAACCAAACATCTGAAAGTAGAAAAAAATATTAAAATTCACCTATATCAATTTTCTTTCACCTACTTTCCCCACTTTCTGTATTTTTTTTACGAAACAAACATGCCCAAAATGAGTGAAACAAACACCCGCTGTATGTCCCGTTTGGCAAATGGTTAAGGAATAGGGTTTAAAGAGAATGATTAATGTATTTAGCCCATTCGATAATCTGAAAGACTAAATTATTAATCAGTTAAATAAGTTTTATTTTAGCCATTGTGATCAGTTTTAGTGTTTGGGAATAACAATGATTTTGACTATTTTCTTTATAATTAGAAGGGTTAACACTTAATCCTTCTAAATAGGAGTATTAGTAAACCCCTCATTTTGAGGGGTTAACTCATTTTTAATCCTTTTTGAATGGTTAGCTTAACCCTTCTATATTTTTCATGTTTAGAAAATTATGAAGGGTTAACTTACTTTAATCCTTATATAGATTATTTGTATTTGGCGGTTTAAGAATGAGTTAAGGCTTCTTAACTTCTCATTTAACCATTTGTCAAATGGTACCGAAGATATTTATTTGACCGATTTTATAATTTTAATATATTTTAAAATTTGTGTTTCTGTACCTGATTGTTTTTTTAGGGGTAGGTGGGTGGGTGGAGTGGGGAGGGATTTTTTTAATAAATACTGTTTGTGCATGTCTCTTTCTTGTAGATTGATGGTCCACAATCATATATAATTGGTTGTCGAAGCTCTCAAGGGATCCTCTGCCCCTACTACATAATGCATGACAATTGGCTGCGACGAGTCCGTACGTCATCTGGCACGAGCGAAATTTAACCGCCTTTCATGATGGCCCCCGGCTGGATATGTTTGTTGAGATACAAAGTTTTGAAAACGTTGTAAGTTGATGCCCTCAATTATATAGCCCTTAAAATACCTTCAAGTTTTGCCACATTTATTTGCTCAGTTCTAATATAGAAGCGGCTTTTTTCTAATATTAGGGAAACTATAGGGTATTTTTTGCAATTTAGCCAGAGGGTTGTCGTTTGAAGTTGAGGGGGTTGTTTTCAACTTTGACCATGTCTAATGCTGCCCTCAGATACTGTCTCAATTATTATACAAGAAGCCAAAGACGATATTCAACTATATATATGTCCGCTTTTTTAGTCCAGATACATTCATCCGCCACTCTCATTTTCCACTAATTTACAATTTATAATTATAATAACCAGCACGCATCCCATAGCCAACACGACTCTTCAAATTAATTAATTAATTAAAATAAACAAAACCCCCCTCGTCCTTGGTGAGCGTCACACAACACGAGGGGCGAAAACCACGAGGTCGATCTCTGACCATGGACGGGATCAGGTCTCCGATCGCCGCGGAGGCGGCGGACGTAACGGTGAAGGTGATCCCACTCCAGGCACCCGTGCTCGTCGTCGTCGCCGGCGAGATCGTCGGCGGAGCTCTTGCGATCGTGGCGGTCGAGGGTGAGGAGGATGTCGGCCGATCGAGTGGTATGGAGAACGCTTGTGTCCGTGTCGCGTGGATGAAGGGCGTACCCGTGGAGGGAGTACCTGCAGCTAGATCTCATGGCCGGCGCCAGCGTCGGCGTTATGCTCGTGCCTCAGGTGAATTTTTCGAGGTTTTCGAAGTGAATAGATCGTGATCTCTTGATTCTATTTGGATTTTTTCGAGCTTTATTGTATAATTTTGTTGCTTAAGTGGATATTAGACTGCAAGAAGTTGGGCACACTCTTGGAATTCTTGATTTGTTAAGTTTTTGTTGGTTTTAATTGAAAACAGCTTCTTGAGAATTAAGATATGATTAATGTTTGCTACTGATTTGTTGATTTTATATATGGAGTTTTATTGGGTGATTTTTGTTTTGTTTTTGTTGATAATAAGATGGAATTTGTGTGTTATACGAATTTTTATTGGCTGAAATATCATACCCC